TAAACAGTGAATATATCTCTGTAAGTAAACTGATCACTGAGATTATGAATTTCATATTTAATTTCATTTAATCTGATCTTATACATTTCTTAGCATGAATTCTGCTGAAACTAGTTATTAAAAAAACATGCAAAGTGACTATATATTAAATCTTAAAATAAAATCATAACTTGAAAAAAATAAGAAAGTAATTTTATTTAATTCTATTTAGTTTCATTCTTAGTATAAAGTTACTATTTTTAGACATTTTAAGGTTTTTTTTAAACTATTTTTAATTTTTTAAAAAGTAACACTTTTTAATAATACTCAAATGAGATTTAAAGTTATTTAAAGCAATAAAAATAATTTAAATGAAGAAGTGAAAATCATGATCTCACTTGAAAAATGTAATAATAGTAGATAGTAAGTCTCACTAGAATAGTATAGAACTACTATATAATCTTAAAACTATGTAATAAGATTAGTTGATATAGCGGGCTGTGTCTGACTAATTATATAGACTGCTCTAGACTGACTATGTAACTGTATCTGAAATTAAAACTAGATTTTGTAATAGACTTATTATCAATTTAACTGATCTCATTACATAGTTTTAACATTAAATAGTAGTCTTATACTATCTCAGTGAAACTTACTGTCTACTCTTATCATATTTTTCAAATGAGATCATGATTTTCACTTCTTAATTTAAATTATTTTTATTACTTTAAATGACTTTAAATCTTATTTAAGTGTTATCAAAAAGTGTTACTTTTTAAAAAATTAAAAATAGTCTAAAAAAAACCTTAAAATGTCTAAAAATAGTAACTTTATATCAAGAATAGAATTAAATGAGACTAAATAGAATCACTTTCTTATTTTTTTCAAGTCATGATTTCATTTTAAGATCTGATATATAGTCACTTTACATGTTTATTTAATGACTAGTTTCAGCAGAATTCATATCAAGAAATGTATGAGACCAGATTAAATGAGATCAAATGTGAAATTCATGATCCCGGCGGCCAGTCTAGACTGCCTCAGTGACTGAATGCTTATACTGAAGATAATATCAATTTTATCTCAGATTTCTGAAATTTAGACTGTGAATCTGAAGCCTTTGATACTGAACTATTTATAATAGTGAAAGCTTTCAAACTCATTGAAATAAAATCTTATAAAAGAGAAAATAGTTTGAAAGAGATATGAATATTCTCTAATAGTCAAGCTGCTGTAAAAAGACTTAGAAATAGTCATATTTATAATAATCAAATGAATCTTGAACTGATTTTAAACTCTGTTTTAAAAATTTAAAAGAGAAGAATATTAACACTGATAATTTATCTGCACTGAATTTCTACTTATATGAATATTCATGATAATGAATTGACTAATTCAGCTGTAGAAAAGTGTTCAGAATTAAGCAGATCTATTCAAAAAATTATGTTCTGATCTTTTATAAAGAAAAAGATAAAAGAATCTTGTTTAGATAAGTAAAATGAAAGCTGATATAAATAAAAGAAGAGTATACATTATTCAAGATTTGAAATAAAACTCAAGTGAAAATCTTGTTCAATTAAATTTAAAAAGAAAATATTCTTATTTATAATTCAGCTGAAACTAAAACATGATTATTTCAAATTATATATATAAAGATTTAATAATAGATTTGATTCAATAGAATACTCATTCTGTAATATAAATGAAAATTCTGAGTATATTATAATATACTGTGTATTATACAATAGTCTCAGAGTCAGATTGAAAGAGAAGTATGATTTAAATTAATTAAATATAAGATTCTTATTCTCAACTGAGATAGAAATTAAATATCTAATAGACTTTCTATCAGAAACTCAAGTAGTTATAAGAAAATAACTGAATTCAGAAATATCTGAATATGAAGAGATGAAAATTAATTAAATATAGTCAGCTATATACTATCTTTTAATAATTTTATTTTATTATAGTCTCTTTTTACTTTACTTTTTTCTTTTCTATTCTTTTCTATCTACTTATTTAATATGTCTATCTTTAAGAGTGTATTCTTGTTTCTTTTATTATAATATTTTCAAATAATTTCAAAGTATTAGAAGATATTAAAATACTGTAATTTATAAAGAGTTTTTATATTCTGAGCTGAAATTTTCTGATTTTACATATCTGAAATTGATAAATGTATAATAGTTAACTCTATAGATATTAGAAAAACCCTGAGAACTTTTAGTTCTCAGGTAGATGTCATAGTCTCTGACTGCATACATCTATAATTGTAGAATAATAATAATAATAATACATTCTATTTGTTGAGAGTCCCGGGTTGATCGGCCCTTCTACCAGCATTGCGCTGGTGGTGACTGAGCTCTTTTGCCCCAGTAGCCTACACTATTTTATTTTCTTGCCAACTTATAAAAAGAAATAATTTACAAAAAAAAAAACCCGTATCTCTTACTTGTTGTAACTATGATAGGTATTATCAACTCCAATTTCACATCAACTGCAATAGCTACCTCTATTTCAATCCAATCTGATCTCTCTCACCCGGCCAGCTTCATCCCCCGTCTTATCTTGTTTGAAAAACAAAAGACAAATATGCTCAGGAAACATCATGTATGTAGGACCTCCCCGAACAAAGTAACAACATATAACAAAACCAATTTTTGAAAAACAAGTTATCAAAAGGCCACCACCCGCCCCATGCATGACATCAAATTTCACATGCAAAAAAAAAAAAACGCAATCACAAAACAGCCAGTCACATAACTACACCAATACCAATTTCAATCCATTCCCTCACTCCCCCATTTTTCTATATAGGTATGTATATTGCATTGCCGGGGGCCGTTATTGATGTTTCCTTTCCTTAACATGCCCCTCCCCTGCACTAAAACATCATGCATGCAAAATCAAAAAAAGAAAAAGAAAATGCAAGCCTCCCTCCCAGTCAGTTGTAAACGGCAACAGTGACAGTAACAAAACGAGCAAGATGAACAGAACGAAAAGAAAAGCAGGGGAGAATCCACCTGATGCATGATACACTACACGTCTTGATGTGTATAGACAGATATGTATCACCACCTCCACCAAAATATATATATAGGTCTGCCTATCCCAACAAACCCCTTTCCCCCTCCCTGCTACTTCTTTTCTCAAGCTTACATATATCAACCAGAACGGAAAACAGTACCAAAAAAGAACGGACAAAAAAGCAACCAGAAGTCAACACAAGTAGCCTCCGGAATTCGTCAAGGGCGACAACAAAAAAAAGTAACGATGTAAAAAAGAAAAACAAAAAAAGACAGAAGGCCTCCCAAGACATAGGAAATTTAGACAGAAAAAAACAAAATAACATGCTGCAAAAGCGTTCAAAAAAAAGATGGGTGGGTTTGGGGAAAACTAAAACACCCGTGGCCATGGACCAGGTTATTTTGCAACCGCAAAGGAATCCTGGAACTTTGAGTTGAGTGTTCTGTTGTTGGCGTGCACACATACACACACGCGCGCGCGCGTATTTAGGTAAAAATACGATTGAAGCATGCTCAATTTTTTGTTTGCCCTTCTCTTTCTCTGGTAGTTAGGTTGGTGGTTGGTTCGGCGCTGGTTAGTTTTCCTGGTCTTTTTCCTCTTTTCTCTCGTCTTTTCCTCTTTTCTTTTCTTCTCTTTCTTTTTGTTTTGTTTTTGGAGTTCTTAACAGAGTTAAAGGAGGGGGGGGGTAACAAAAAGTAATGTTCGGGAGTAGGGAGGGAAAAAGGGTGAGAGAATAGAATATTTTGGAAAAAAGATAAGAAAAATGTGATTAATGGGTCGCCCCATGTAGTTTATATAAAAATGCAACGAAAAAAACTCGTTCAGTGGTTTGGTTTGTGGAAAGGAAAAGGGAGGAAACAGAGAGGGGGGGGATGGAGCTGTTAAACAAGGAGGAAAACAAAGTGGAAACAAGAACCCCAAGAAAAGAAATGAGGGGGGCAAATTTCGCAAAGGAATATAATTTCATTTTCATTCAAGGGAGACGGACGAATGAAAAGAGTTGAAAAAGCATTTGTTTGTGCAAAGAGCTTTCAAAAACAAGACAACAAGCAGGCGGGCCAAATTTTTGACAAAACGTTGAGCGAGCGAGTGTTCAAAATGAGTCAGGTGGAAAACACCCAGGTCAAACATACAGCCAGCGCCATTCTTCGTCCGTGCGCGGAGGGGGAAAAGGGGGAGCGGGCAGGCGATGCTCAGCCAAGGAGCAGATATTGCTGCGCAGGAGAATACGTTTGTCGACGCTCACTAGAAACTCTGACCATTTTATAAATCAGAAGCCACCGGTCGTTGCTTCGATATCAATTCGCAGGTGAATCTCCGGAAGGAGGCTTTGCAGTAGCAAGCCGTCAGCCGTGTTTCGGATCGGAGGCGCGCTTGAAGCCTACGGAATGCAACACTTCCGTTCGATCAGCGGAACCCGGGTTATCATAAGTAGCCGGGATATCACCCAGACATATGCTCTAGGATTTGGCCTTCCCACTCCCTTGCGCCTGCCAGTTAACCTGCTCTATTCTGTGGTTGTCAGAATGATTGCGCAGGGCAAGACCATAGGCGCGTTATCCGCTCGTCCCTAACCAACCCCTCTCCTCGTGGGGGTTATACCCATTCTGTTCGAAGCAGCCTTACCCCGCCGCTGGACTTCTCGACATCGTACCCCCTGAGTGTGAAAGGTTTATATAGGGGCCCGACATGTGGAAAAGCCCACCCATCTCGATTAAAAATATTGTTAAAAGCAGCAAAATCGTAGTAGCAAAAAAAGGAGATCGTCGTGACCAGCACGATGACATTCATGATCATCCCTTCCTTTCCATCTTATTTTTTTCGTCTTTTTTTTGTTTTTTAATTTATTTTCGTCTTCAGTTTCAATAAGTGCACCTCTTTAATCCTCATTCATAATTCGAATTGCGTTTCTCTTCTACTCATAATTCCCATTGATTGTCCATAACGTATGCTCTAGTTCATCGCCACCCGGGTTTTAATTTGTTTGAAGTAGGCTAAACCCTCCGGTTTAGGGCATTGAGCATATCGCTATCTGTAGAACTTCGTGTGCCTTGAGTATCTGGGCCCAGCATTTCCCTCACACTCAACCCACGGCTACCAGATGAGACGGTTGTTTGACCGGGTGGTGGGGTTCGAATTGGGATGGACGGCGGAGGATGTTGCGGTTGGATGGGTGGATATGGCAGATTGGACGAGGTAGACCCGTGCGGAGAAGAGGAGTGTCGATGCTCGAATGAGTATTGGGAATGAGGCGACGAACGTCTATCGTACGGCGCTTGGGCTGTATGGCTGGGGTATGCGGTCCCAGACACAGCCGCTGAGACGGGAGGGAGTGTGGTAGATTCAGAGTAAGAATATCCTTCTCTTGAATCACGCGAGACCATTGAGGATCTCTGTGTAGAAGAATGTGAGAAATCAGAACTCGAGGCCGAAACGGGGTCGCGGGAATGATGGGGAGGAAATGGAGACTCGTCGGAGCGGGGACGTTTGCGACTCACATGATCCGGTTGCAACGGGGGAGGCTGTAAATGAGGGGGGGGAGGGCGGTCGTCGACGGGCGGCCTGCCATAAGCATGAGGTGGATATAAACTTTGTGGAGGAGGGAGAGGTCCATCTTGTGGATGTTGTGGTGCCTGTGGTGGAGGAAGCGGTTGGCCATGTGCACCATACAATGGTATAGCATCAGCTCGAGGACCACCCCGTGGTGCCGTGCCGCGAAAATGGTTGTAGACTGCTTGAGCAGGGACAAAGGCTTGTGCTTGTGACGAAACCGGCGTGAACATGCATTCCTGATTAAAGCGAACGCAATTACTGCATCGTCCATCCTGGGAGGACTCGAATCCCGAACATCGAATCTACAGGCAAACGGAGCAAGGGTAAATTAATTTTAGCTCTGTTATACTTTATTATTTGACATAAAATGTTTTGGGTGCAATGGACAAGGCGTAAGTTGTAAACTGGAACAAGAGAGACTAACCTTCCGTCTCCTACAGTATCGGCAGGCTATCGCAGTTCGTTGTCTTGGAGCGGCAGCCGGGTATACCACCAGGGGCGGAGCTGGGGGTGGATGACCATACATCTCGGGAGGACGCTGGTACGCCCCATGTGGTGGCGGGAGCTGGTAATCCTGAGGTGGGTGCTGAATCTGTGGCTGTATGGTGGCCATAGTAGACGGAGGAGGATATTGGTAAGACTGTTGAGTGGGGCGGGCCTTTTAGGTTTATTTCCCTTTTGGGTCAGAATGGCGTTCCAAATTTAAAAACCAAAAAGAAAATATAAAATATAAAAGTCGGCCAGCAGAAAGCGAAGTAAGAAGGAGCAATAACGTATAAATGAAGGGCGTTAAAACAAAATAAAAATAAAAATAAAAATAAACAAGTTAATTTGTACCAGCGAAGGGAGGATATAAAAACAAAGCGTTCAAAAACACCAGACGCAAGCAAATGTAATGGCGTTTGGTGGGGGTGGGCAGAGGAGAGAGAGAGAGCAAGGGAGGGATGGCGGTGATAGGCAGGAGGCAGGCAGGCAGGCAGGCAGTCATGCAAGGAGGAAGGGAGTACGGACAGAATGTTGTGACGAAGGAGGATAATCAGGCTGACCAGAGGACCATGAAGGCGGTGGATACTGTCCCTGGCGGTTGGGGTCGTTGGACATTTGTTGTGGCCGGGTGGAGGTGGAGGCAGGGGGTAGAGGAGGAGGAGTAGGATGAGGAGGAGAGGGAAGAGCTATAGCTAGAAGTAGGCGGCGCCGGGCTGCAGCAGCGGCAGTGGTGCGGTATGGTCGACGACGATACGGGAGGGCTTCAGGTCCCGTATATAGATTGGCCTGGACGGACCTATGCGTCGTCGGTGCGTCGGTTCGTGCGTGCGTGCACGCTGCAACAGCAAGCAAGCGGGCGCAGGGATGGGGGAGGCAGGCAGGGGGCTGATCAGCTCCCTACAAAAAGCAGACGTCACAGCGCGCGGGATGGTCTGGACCGGGATCAGGACCAAATCAAATGGAACGGCGCTTCTGCTGTGTGATGTCTTTTATGTGGGCATGGATGTGCCAGTTACAAGCACGATCGGTGAGACTCGGCAACTCGCATAGCCCTTGGTGTGGGCCGGCAAAGCTGGTTTCGGCGAGGAGAAGAGGAGAAAAGGAGAAGAGGCGGCAAAGGGCGGGCAGGTTTTTTGATGGCCACCACCACCACTACTGCTACCACTGGTTTATATTTATATTGTATGCGGACCGGTCTCGCTTTTTGGTTTTGTTTTGTCGTTTCTTTTCTTCCTTCTTATCCTTTCCTTATACGCGTTCTGATCCCTGATGGGGTAACAGGGAAAGATTGACCTGACCTGCCGGACGGGAGAACCGATGAGGGCGGTATTAAGGTTAAGACCGGCGCAAGGTCCTAGGCAACGAGGAATAATGAGGAATAATGAGGAATATCTGAACTGTCCTGTCCGTCCTTCGTCTGTACCGTGCCCGAGACCGAGACCGGACGCCGTTTTGAGTGTCACAAAGGAATGTCGGGATGTGTGTACGAGTGGTGGTTTGCCTGTCTGTCTGTCTGTCTGTCTGTCTGTTTGTTCGTTTGTTTGCCTTCTTTTTTTATTTTATTTCTTTTGTAATCCCCCTTTCTGCTGTTTATGCCGTTCTCTCTTCAGCCACAAGGGAAAAAAATAAAAATAAAAATAAAAATAAAAATAAAACAACAATACGCTTGTGTCTGGTCTCCCCGGCCAGAATGAAGATGGTGGCGGTCTGGGGTGGTGGTAATAATGAAGAACAATACCAACTAAAAGAGCGCCGAGGAAAACACAAGGGAATAACAGAAAAGAAACCAGTAAAACGGGAAACGGTAAATACAAGCAACTAACCTAGGACAAGGTGGGGAAACGGAGGGGGAGAGAGAGAGAGAGAGAGAGAGAGAGAGGAAGAGAGCGTTCAGAGGAGAGGAGTGTGTAAGTTGTAAGTGATACAGCGGACTAGGAGAAAAAAGGAAGAAGTGAAGGCCAAAGGAGAGAAAAGAAGAAGAAGAACAAGAAAGGAAAAGAGGATATAGTGTGCAGTGAGAGAGAAAAGTTGTAGATATCCCTTGGGGGGGGAGGGGGGGGTTTGAAGAAGAAGAAGAAGAAGAATAAGAGAGGAGGAGGAGGAGGAAGAAGAAAGAGAACGAGGCAAGAGAATTAAAAGACACGGCGGACAATCGACCTAACCTTCGATCTGGAGGCCATCAATTAGTCGCCTTCTTTTTCTTTTTCTTTTTCTTTTTCTTTTTCTTTTTTTTTCCCGTCTGTTCTTTTTTGCTTTCCCTGGTTCCCTTCGTTGTTTCTTCTAAAAAGTATCTCCACTTGGCCCGGGAATTTAGCATTTTATCTTCTTCTTCTTATTATTATCATATCATTATTCGCAGTATTATTATTTGTCCCTTCCGGAACGGGTCCCTCCCCCCTCCCCATTATTCCTGATAGTCCAAAATAGTTGGAGATAGCTCCTCATCCCGCGGGCAAATAGCATCATCAGCAAGGGCACCTTAAGGTTGGGACTCGCCGGCTTGCTGGATCTTCTGCCCGTGGAACTCGTTAGTTAGGCTTTTGCTTCTGGGTAAGGGAAGGGAAAGGGAAGGGCATCGCAAACCATGGACACTGCAAAACCCCCTTTTTTTTTGTAAAGTTTCTATTTTGTAAATAGTTAATAGTTCTTTTATTCCAATAACTAATTATTGTAAAAGTAACTAGATAGAAAAATAAATGCCTTCTCTCCCTACTCTACTCTACTCTCCCTAGCTAGCTACAGTTACTGGATTATTTATTATTACGCAGCGTAAATCTCCCCGATGAGTGCAAATACTCTTCTTGGTGCGTGCCTGAAGAAAGAACGGGAAAAATACACGCAGTACCCAGTGAAAATTACAGCCCTTTGTATCCCATCCGCCCATTCGAAGGCTATATATATATATATATATATATATATATAAATGGCTGGCTGGCTGGGCGGAAGGCGGAAGGGAAGAGGCAAGGCACGCATTCCCGTGCAGCATTGATCATTGTTCTATCATTATCCTCATCATTATCCTCATCACTATAACCATCGTCATCATCATCATCATTATCATCATCATCAAGATTCAACAGCGGTCAGGTCAATCAGTAGCCAAATCAACCAGAGGCAAAAACATACACCAAACTAATACGCCGGATATTTTTTTCCTTTTTCTTTTCTTTTCTTTTCTTTTCTTTTTTTTCTTTTCTTTTTTTTTTTTTTTCTTTTCCTGTTCTTTTCTTTTCTTTTCGTCTCTTTTCATTTTCGCCCCGCCACTGGCCAATGGCGCGCCCTGTTTGTCGGGACCATAGCTGCCGAGCTAGATGTCCCGCCCAGGGCAAGGTAGGCAAGGCAAGGCAAGGCAAGGCAAGGCAAGTAGTGGAAGTGGAGTTAGGTTAGTTCCCTATCCTATCCTACCTACTGGGAAATCCCCCATACATACATTACAACCATACAGCGTACAAGACTGTATCTCCCGATACCCGTATCATACAGATACAGATACACTCTCGGTACAGCTCAATATTGTAATGTAATAATACAGTTGTTAACTACTTATCTGATCCAGCTGATAGCTACAGCCATTAGACCAACCATGGTGCCTACAAACGCAACTTCAACTTCAACTTCAACTTCAACTGCTGCTGCTGCTGCTGCTGCTGCTGCTGCTGATGATGATGATGATGATGATGGCTTATCTTCTCGCTATAGCGGCGGCGGCGGCGGTTGTTACTTCCATGGGTCATTCTTCAGTAATCAACCTCCTTTCCCTTCCCCTTTCCCCTTCCCATTCCCTCACCCTAACATACCTAACTCGGTTCGTGGGGCTATCGCTTCGGCTTGAACCCGAAGCACAAACCCTGGTTCGAGTGAAACCAGCTCATCGCGCTCGTCGTTGAGCTGGGTGGTGTCAATGTCAATAATTTCTCAGTATTCTCCTAGCAAGTTACTACTAAAAATGTTCTCGTTCTTGAGATTCCAAAGCTCGCTTTGTGCAACCAACTAACTAACTTACGGAGTCCACAAGTATATCCAACTCGCTACAGCTAACTACCCACGCCAGAAAAAAAAAAAAAGAAAAAACAAAATCCCCCAAGTCGGGCGCACACAAGGTTGGGTCCCGTCGCTAGTCCCAAGTACGACACGTTTAGCCCATTTCTGAATATGCACAATGAGGTCAACGGTTGCTTTAACCCTCCACTCGCTCGGGTCAAGGATAATAATTATGCACGATGATGTTGAGTGACGGGGCGGAGAGAGACAGTGTGTTTGTTGTATGCACCAAAAAAAAAAAAAAAAACACTACTTTTTATAGGTTTAGTAGGTTTAGTGTATACACAGTCTTTACAAACAAATTTACTAGTGTTTCGTAGATCTTGAATTTCAGAACTCTAGTGATGTGCAAGTAGTAGTATTCTCTCTAACTTTACATCTCTTACATCTTTAATCTGTATAATCTCATTCTCGGATTCCTGTCGTGACTAAGAGCAAGAGCTGCCAGGTCTGAGCTCCTATCACCTAGATTAGAAGGATCATAAGACAGCCGAGCTTCTGTCAGCCACATCTCACTCTTCTATGAGAGAAGTCTCAGCTCCTGAGCACTTCAGACTCTCGGAGACCTGAGTATATACTATTACATAGGTCAAAAAGACTATAAAACAGCTGCCTTCTTACTAGCCCGCACCTGGCATCTATTCTTATAGTGATGGCTCATCTGCATCGCATCTGCATCTGCTCTCAGCTTCAGAGTCAGAGCCTAATCATTGCAATTCCTCTAACTGTAATAGTAAGTAAGCCTGAGATCTCTGAAGAAGCTCAGAAAGTCAGAGCAAGGCAAGCAAGACACTATAATAATATAGATGAGTGCCAGACACAGCTGGCAGAAGCTAGTCATCTTATGATCTTTTTGATCTAGATGATTACTATATAGTATGAACAGCAGAGGAGACTGTATAGACTCTAGTTGAGAAGGAGAGAGAGAGAGAGACTTTGATAACTACATTCAAAGACTTAGCAGCTATTGTGTATGTAATATCATGTACAACACTAAATCTGAATGTATATTAATAGCCTAGCTCTGGTAAATATCATTTTTCCTGCTAGTTTTTTTTTTTTTTTACACCCCCAGTATCAGTATCACATAATCAGCGAAAATCATGAATGTTCATATATTTGCTGTCCACCTGCCATCAGCCACCATTCTCCGCTATACAAGATTTACTTACCACCCACCACCACCTCTTCGGCCTGCCAGAAGCTAAAGCTAAAGATAAAAGCGGATAACAGGTCAGAGACATTGAACTCCTTTAGCTTTTTATTTTATTTTTTATTTTTTTTAGATTGAGTCAGAGGTGGTGTGATGGTGGGCTTATCATGATAAAGATGATGATGATGATGATGCTTGATGAGCTGATTGAATGCGCAGATGACTCAATCAACCCGCTGCAACCTGAATAGCAACATGAGATGATTTAAGAAAAAAAAAAAGAAAAAATGGGTGAATGGGTGAATGGGAGGGTGAAGAAATTCGGGGTTAAAATAAAATGTATTTTCCCCTCTCTTATTTGGCCGTCCATATATATACCTACAACTTAAGAAGAAGAAGAAGAAGAATAATAACCATCACA